TAATTGTGTGTATATACAGAAGGGGTAGATGTACCAGTTTGACAGGAACTAATTATATTTTGTCATTCCAGGGTGTTTTGATGCTTCAAGACCAATATCGTGCGATTATGCAATATAGTATACCAAAGGATATGGGAGCTTCTGAAAAACCACCTACCTATAAAGCGTCAGCGGACTGGTTTTGTATAAAGGTAAGACTTTTCTTCTAGATAGTAATAATTTCGATAGGCACCTGATAATTTCACAACAAAATGGTATTGAAATAATTGGAATGAAGAACAATGAATTTTTTTTATCGAATTCAATTGTGATTATGATAGTAGTGAATGTCATAAATTTTCTACTGAGAATGCCATCAACTTCCACTTGCTTAAAATTTTTGTTTGCTTTTCTTAATATTTATTTCTACCTTTTACATGGAGAACTCCTTAGATCAAAGTTATTATAATGATAGTAAGTCTTGAACTACGTCATCATTACTTTTTGAACAGTCCTCGTATAATAATGATATTTTTTGGTCATCATCAATACAGAGCCAACAGATGGTAATATGATTACTCCCAATAAAAAACACTGACTTCATTAGCGAGTGGATCAGTCCAAAAAGCCACATTAATGGTGTTTTATTTTTCTAGTGTGGCGCTCAGAATTTCAAAAGAAGAGATAATTGCTTCAAATGCCATGCGTCTAGAATGGAAAGTGAAGAAGGCGGAAGTGGCAGCGATGAAATTTGCAGTTACACCACTAAAAGTAAGACATTTTTGTTTCATCAGTTATGGTGGTTTAAAACGTGAATAAGATAGATAAAAAAGGCAGAGAAAGTGCGGTTGTATTGTTTTCGTTTACATCTTGATGAAAAATATCTCGTCAAACAATGAGCACTTCCAAAACTGGCATTTGTTTGATCATGTACTTTTTTTGCAATGAATTCCAGTGGTTAATGGTTTTCTTTAATAACATCTGTATTTTCAGCAATAATGATGCGAAACCTAGACGCTTTAACAACAGAAGATTCAGTCATGGCTGTTTTAAGCACCGCAATTCCGAATTTGGTAAAATCCATATCGGCTGTTTGCATCGGCAGAGATCCACTAACTTCCACCTCACGAGGTCTATGTTATCTTGGCACTGATAGTACTATTGATGCCCTTGCGATATATGGTGCACTCACTGCTTCGAAAACACCTCTAACAATTGATGGCAAAACTGGTGAGTTTTTTGTGAGTGATATTGAATGAAGTACTCGAAAAGTTGATCTTGCAGAGGTTAAGTTAAGAGAGAGTTAAGAGAGCAAGTGGAGTCTTTTGAGTTGGTCATTGTGATACAATATGAGTTCTTTAACTTCAATGGAAATTAATTATTTAATGATCCATAAATCGTGTAAATTACAAGTATGTGTATAAAATTCAGAAAAGGTATATTTCATGGTTATAGACCTCAAGCTCAAAAAAGCTTTATAGGCCATACAAATTGATACACCGATATATCGACCAGAAGGAAATAAAATATGAAAATCATAAATATTATAAGCTAGTGATATAAAAAGAAATTTTTATCTTTTCTAGATACACACAATTTGAAAAANAGGTGGTGCCTATTTATTTTATATTTATATATTTCAGATATTAATATATTTTTGTATTCTTATGTGATTTCAATGTGATATAGTGCACAAGTTAAACGTCGCAACATATATGTTATTTCTTAACTGTATTGGGGTAACCCGTTTTTAAATAAATAAATAAACACTTTAACCAAATGTGCTGAAGCTCAAGATCTCAGGTTAGTTGATTCGTGAATTCTTGCTGACTTCTGAACACATTAATATTTGGGGAATTCTTAAGAGCTATTGGAAGCATATTGTATAAAGAATAAATATATATACTGGCTGACCCGGCAAATGTTGTTTAGCCACATAAATTATTTCTTGCGTGGAAAATAATAACTAACACATTGTTAGTGTTTGTCAGAACAATAACACCTACAAATAATATTCATCCCTTATTCCGTAAGTCCATGTTTAGCTAACACAAACAAACTGGACAGTTTGTCCACTCGAGAGCAGGCCAAGTATAATTGTCCGTGTGAAAAACATAGTGTGCTCAAATCCAAGCCACAAACGGACATTATTTGGCCTTGAGAGTTCTTAATAGTCATGGCGAATGCCAATCTAATTGGAAATTGCACACGTTTAAAATGAACTGGCACATCTCTAGGTACAATAGGGATTCATCGGAACTTGTCATTTTTTGGCTTCGATGACGTTTTTCATTAATTTTTTAATGACTAATCGCGTGCCGTTGCACAGCCATGGTGCCGTTTTTTCCCAACCTAACCTTCAATTGTAAATCATGCGGTGGCATGCCTAGCAAATCCAATGAGTTAAAAAACTCAGATGGGTGATTTACAGCCTCGGTGGCATCGCAAACTGTATCTACCCCTTGATGGAGAAACAATAATAGTGGTGTATGGTGTGAGAGAAGACTTAATATGTGAGAGAGTCAGGAAATAGGCTTCGTTCTCGTTCCTGATCCATGCTGTTTACTGAGAAGTGACACCAGTAGAGGCCTGGAGGGAATAACTGATCTATGATCAGGGTAGAAAATGATTGAATTACTAAAATGACTGGTTAAAAAAAAAGGTTGGTGATAATCTTTATTACAGCATCAATCTGATTTCATACTATTTTCAATATCTAAGAAATTTTTAATTACATCTAAATCTATGATCACAGGTTATAAAAGATATTCGAGTTGAAATGATGAGTTGAAGTAACTAATGATTTACGGGATACATTTTTAAATTATGAGTTGCGTTTAAAGTTGTCTAATTGTCTATCATGGATCACATCAGAAAATTTGTACAGTCAAGAAGAACATCAACATCTGAAATAAATGTTTTCATTTTCAGTGATATTATCCTACTGCAAATATAATATGGGTGACACCAAAAAAGCCTATTCTCAAGCAGATCACGAAGCATTTCCTAATGCAGCTATACCCAGTACTTACGCAATGACTGATGTGGATAGCCTGGCGGAATATGCCGCTAGACGTTATGCTAAAACTCCGCAGGAGTATATGCAGTACATTGAGTATTACAGAAATTATTTTTCCCAACAAATCAGTTCTGGGAATTCGATCACTCTGCAGGAAAATCAAATGGATGCAGCTAATGCTGCAGCTGCTCTTGCGCAATCCGCCATTCAACAACTGAATGCTAATAAGACGTATTATGATCCTGGGGCTGTGACTCTTCCTACAGGAACAGATGGAAAGAAGTATCGTGAGTATTTTTCTTATCAAAATTATCAAATGAAAAAAATTGCATCTAATTTTGAATTCCCAATTGCTCTCTATGTGAGGTTTTTTGTATTGCCATAGTGACATTGAAGTATTTATACTTTCTATCATTGTATTGGGTTTAATTTGCTTTCAACCTTTGAAAAATTAATAAAAAGAAATAATAATAAATGAAATTTACAGCCATAAAAAGCTTTGTGTTCCAAATTCATCATTTTTCAATTTATCATATAATAAATGTTTCTTACAGCTGTACCAGATATTTCCAAGTACACATATGACAAAGCTACTGGATATCAGTACTGTTCACAGACCGGACTGTATTACGATAGAAATTCTACTTATTACTGGAACCATCAAATACAAAAGTGGTTATACTGGGATCACGAGAATCAAACTTATCTCCTAGCTCCTACCTACGATGCTACTGCTAGTCAAGTCCAGGCAGCTGATGCTACTGGAGGTTCGGGGCCAGACAAAAAACCAAAAGTTGAGAAACAAGATAAGGTGAAAGTTGCCAAGAAAATAGCCAAAGACATGGAACGGTGGGCGAAAACTTTGAACCAAAAGAAAGACAACACCAGCACAAGAGCTACAGCCGATTATATTTCTGCTTCTAGCAGTGCTTCAGCAGATATTGGATTCTCCGTCTTAGAGAAGAAGAGTGTAGCATTGGTTTCTACTCCGGCACCTTTTTTCAAACAGCAAGAACTTTTAGAGGAGGTTCCCGAACCGTCGGCGACTTCTTCATCTGCTCCTTTGGTAGCTGCGTATGGTGGAGAGAGCGAATCCTCAGGTAAGTGTTCAGTCAGTTACATTACTGGAAATTCTGCAACAATACATATTTCAATAAAATTTGACCAGATGGATACTTGGAAAAACCTAACATTTTTTACCATCCATGAAAACCTACACAGCATTATGTGTGTATATGTGTAGTGACTGATTCTTCAGCTGGTAAGACTTACAAGGTTTGAATTAGACAAAAGTAGCCTTAGTTAGTGGCTACTAAATTTGATGGAAGTAAATGAAATGTCGTATAGAAAATTGGTTCATACCAGATCATAACAATTCTGGAACAGTACAGAAAGTTTCTTTGCATTATGTTCATATGATTTGAAATGGAGGTGGAAGAGTCAACCAATGAAATAAGACAATTTTAGTTTCTTGAGCATATCTCAAAAATGGCTATTGATAGTAGCGATCTGAAAAAACTCCAAATATACAACTTTCAACTAACCTCGTAAGTCTTACTATGTCAGACATATCAGTCGTGGGTCACTTGAAAAAATATGTATATATAATATTTCGAATATTTCAGGGGAAGAGGAAGACGATCTTCTGGACTTCACCAAATTGATTTGCAACTTGTGTAAGCGTCAGTTAGGCTCAGTTGAGGCTTTGACAAAGCATGCTAAGCTCTCGGCTTTACACAAACAAAATCTAGAAGCAAGACGGAAGAAGAAATCTGAAAGAGCAAGCGATAAAATTGTTTATCGAGACAGAGCCAAGGAGCGTCGGATGAAATATGGTGATCCGGACGAACCTAAACCTAGTAAACTGAAAGAGAAGTATTTGAAAGCTAGAGAAATGGAAATTCCATCTTCTTCAGCTTCGGTCACAGAACCGATAGGGTCGGAGAATGTTGGAAATCGCCTTCTACAGAAAATGGGATGGACCGAGGGGCAGGGGCTTGGGAAATTGAATCAAGGCAGAACAACAATTATTCAGGTATGTTGAATTAGTCCTTGGAAGTGTATATTATGATGTATGTAGTCCAGGTTTCGGCGAAACTAGAAAAACCTCAAAATCGTAACACTTTCGAGGTTGTTATGTCAGAAGAGAAATATGTACTTATAATATAAAAAAGGGGGACCCAGTAATGAACGTCTAAATACTCCATATTCATATTTGCATGTTTGGATGTTGTGCAATGCTCTTTTTTCAGATAGGATCTAAAAAAAAGAATATTCCTTCATATTCTCAATCCAAAATGAATATAACAGAGTTGAATAAGTTGGTAAAATCATGTATTTTTCTTTTGCAACATTTTATAATGATCTGGAAAACTTGTTTTGAGCTTTGCAGTTTTGTGAAACCTGTTCCTGATTAAAATAAATTATTATCTGAGATATATTTGTAAAGATACGTTTCAATATGATTAGATGACCTGTTTGTTTACAGACCTCTAGTTTTTAATATTTTAGAATGTGTTTCTTAATTTTGTCACGAGACGTCTCCTTTGTCAGTATTTTTATTGAATGATGTTATGGATAAGTGTCTAAAAATATACCCCTTTCAATTTATGCAAAAAGAATTGTGGCAAATGATTTTTATCATTTTTATTCTACTGATTTGAGGGAAATATGACTTGATTTTCATATTTTTTCATGAATATGAGAGGAGTAGAAGCAATTTCTATCATTG